TTCATTATGCAGTGTGTAACATTGCGGTCAAGTGAATTGATTGATATAAAAAATAAGCCTCTCTAGTCTGAATAGTGCTAACCGTACGTAGCGCAGGTAGGTCTACTGGTCGTTGATTAACAGTTAGCTAATCCTGGCTAACACTAAATAACTGACTTTAAATAAGCATTGCGTCGTTGTTTCCCTATTGAATGTCCCAGAGCTGCGGAATATTATTGTGTAAAAGCAGGAAGTAGTTGTACGAGCAATGTTTGTTTCCCACGAGCCACTGTAATCATGGATCTTATTTCGCTTTTAGTGAAGCGAAAGCTCATCAACAAGTTGATCTTAATTTACATTCTAGCTGTTAATCACGACTGAAAATTGGGAAGTACCTAGCCTTCTAAGCCGGAGATCATTACCGTCGCCCAGCCGTAGATATTTTGAACTATTGAAAATTAACAAGATACTGTATGTTAGATTATTTATTAGATGTATTTATTTATTACTAGTCCATGACTACTGTATTAAATTTTCATGAGACAGAACTAAACAGAAGAAAAAGTAGACATTATAATACATGATGATGACCATTGTTACAAGATCTAATATTGCTTGTCCTTAAAAATAAAAAAAATAATAAATTATTGTTTTTCTTGATTAAAATCATATTACTTGCATGAATGATCCTTATCCAGGAATAAAGAACAGTAGTTAATATGTCACATAGGCTAGTATTCGTGTCTTTTTTAAAAAATTAGGTACGCACATATTTTCATAAGCAATCAAAACTAAGTAGACAAATTGTTAAGTTGCATACCCAAGTTGATCATTTTGGATCTCTAAACATAAAGAATATCAGTATTTCAGGGGCTTTGCCCTGAAACCCATCCCTCATCCAGACCTTCGTCGATCGCTCGGTTGGTGCTTTGCGCTAAAGTATGTATGCACACACCCTAAAAATTCTAACACCCACCCTCAGTTTTCAATAGCTACATCCATGAATACCTTTTGTACTGTTTGATTTTAATACAAAAAACCTTACATTGATTAACTGCAAAGTTACTACCAAGAATAGAGGATTCGTATTAAGCATCTGTTAAATGGTATTCTGAAAAATAAAGTATTTTTAGCTCTCATCCCTAGTAAAAAAAAATCCAGTTTAGCCAAAAATATTCCCAAACAGTTTTTGCCTAATTTCATGATAATACCTGTTGTGGGATGAGATGAAAATACAATAGTGGCTGTATGTTTATCAACAGTGAATGCCAGCCCAATGTCTTCAACATGAAATCAGCTATAGGAACATGAAACAAGTACGTAAAACTGACAGCAAATTAATTTAAAATATATCATGGTATGCTGTAAAACATTTATTAAGTGTTGTATTCTAAGCGTTCTTATCAACTCAAGAGTACCAGTAGAATTATTTGGGCCAGGATGTCAGTCGCTGCAGGAGAAATATATACTGTACACTGCAAAGCAACATTATATTTTTAGTAGTTGGTTGGTTGGAAAACAAGAAAAACAATTATTTTGGTAGCACTAGCAAAAACTACATTCCCTATCACGCCTACAGTAATGATACTGTATAATTGAGAAAATAAAAAAGGGAAGAGAAGGGGGACAATTTAAGAAAAGGAAGACAGCAAGTAAGATGGTAAATATGTAGAGAACTAGGATGGGCCATCAAGACAATTCAAGCCAATTATGGAATAAGAATGAGTTATCAAACAAGTGATAAGGAAAAAATCTAATGTGGAAAGAGGAAAGATACTGAAAAGGAAAAGAAATCTATTGAAAGAAAGAGGAAAAAATGAACCTATTGAGAAGAAAAAGCCAGAAGGAAATTAGATAAATTGTGGAGAAACAAAAAGACGGTATAAATGACAGCAATTGAGGGAATCAGGAAGAGAGCTGAGATGGATGAAAGCCACTGAAAAATGGGAATAAAAGCCACTGAAAAGAAGAAAGTGAGCCATTCAGTGGATAAGCAAGAGTACCACTAACCTGGGGCAGATGCAAGATTTGGCAGTAAGGGGTACATGAGAGTCCATACCACCTCAGCCCCACCACAGCTGGGGCTAAGGTGCGAAAATTTTTAGAAATATGGACCCAAAAATACCTGGAAATTGCATTCATACTTTACAAATTTTACCGATACTACAGTATGTTGAAAATGATAAAAAAATATATATATCAATAATACAATACAAAAATTATTTTTCTTAATATAATTTAGAAGGGTGAGATCACACCGTCTGCACCCACTCCCCTACATCCGCCCCAGACTAATGGATGACGAAGAAGGACACTACTGATGACTGGATGGGCAAGGAAGCCGCTGAAAAAAAAAATTGATGGGGAAGACAGCCAGTGAGGATAAATGAGAAAGAAAGACATGATTTCACTATGACCACCACCAAATTAACATCCCATCTGAACATGTTTAATAATAACAATAATAATAATATTTATTTTGCAATCATCAAGAACAATTATGCCTTGAGTGAGAATAGGCACAATCCTAAACAGATACTGTACTCGCTCCACACCATCAAGTTTTGTAATTAAACAAAAACAAAAATAATGGCAGGAAACTAAAAATTACAAAGAAAATACAATTAAATTACAACTAATATAATGAAATATAGCACTTAGAGCATATTTAAAAGACGAGATTGATGAAGAATTTTAAATTACTGGTGGTAATTGTTCACATAGCCTAGGGAATGATACAAAAACAGAATTCAGAAATGTATTACTTTTCGCATTCCAATGCAAAAGTCTGCCCTCTCATCTTTCACTAATTTTAACGTAGGAGGACCACGACAGGAGTGAAAATCAGCATAAAGTAAATGAGGAATTGTGCTGAAGTAGAACTAACAAGATCACAATTAGCAATGAAAGTTTTAAACATATTAACTTCCTTATTAACACAACATGGCATGGCTTGAGCCACTAATGAACTACAATCCAAATGAATCAATTTAAATTCTAAAGTATGTCCTCGGCTCTATATATCACAGGGTTGTAAGTTCAAAAGGTTGACATAATAAATGACTCTGAATGCATTTTAACTACATTACAATAATACAGATAACTGCTTTAATGACCTTTTCAATTGATGATGATGATGATCATAATGATACTTATTGAATGTATATTAACGCTTGCGTGATATTTATGAAGACGATAATAATGATGATGATACTGTAAATGCTCGATTAAGCGCCGCACTAAACCTGGTTTTTTTCGCTAAGCGCCGCTCTCGAATAAGCGCCACAGTGCTAATCGAGAGTACCGTATATTAGACTTTGTGTAATGAAACACTTTGAGAGTGTTTTAAATACAATGTAGACAGTGTTAAAATGAATAAGTAACTCAATGAAGACACAAGCATTTCTTTATAAATGTTTATTTACGTAGGACCTAAGATAGGCCTACTGAACTAAGAGAATACGCGAGATAGGGCAATGTAGGAACAGGCATGGAAAGCCAATATTTTTTTTAATATTTACGGTAGTTATGATGACGACGATATGATTGGTTGTAATAATGATTGTGATGATGAGCATATACAGTGACGATGATGGGCAGGTGATTTTGGTGGTAAAGATGACGGTGCTGGTTACAACAATGACGATGGCAGGTGATAATGATGATGATGATGACGATACAATAATGTTAGAAGACGATAATATGTGGATAATAATACTGATGATGTTGATGTATATAATTCAATGCCAAGATTATTACAGTAGTATAAATGAAATGAAACAGACAGAATATACAAAAATAAATCTTCAGAATTAACACTATCCAAGTTTCATAATCGATGCTCCAAGGAAACATCAAGTTTTTAGCTATAAACTGATCAACAGCAGGATCAAGACTAATGGTGCCCATGATGTCACAATCATTCAATAAGAATAATCGGACAGATTCTAAACGCTCGCCATCTTAATAGGTATTGACGAACTAATGTATTTAGAGATTCATATTTTATAATTACTAGTTATTAGCGCAGTTGCTTACAGTATCAAATATCCTTCTGTATTAAGTATCTTAATTTTGTATAATATTCATCTAATATTATTCATTCATTCATAGAAGTGGCTCCAATCAGTTTGATCTTCCTTGGGGAGATTAAACGCATGAATATGGAAAAGTTGGAATTTTCATAAAAATAAAAATGCACTTACATAAAACTATTTTTATTGGTTTATTACATCTGGGACAAACTTTGGTTAGATTGTGCATTCCTCCATGGAGATGCATACATATAACATTTTATTACAATTCAACTCACAAAATCAAATAATAACATAAAAACACTTTTCAAACCAACATACATAAATAATATAAGATCAATAAGCAAAGTGAATATTTAAAATATTAATAATTTAAATAGAAAAACATATTAAAATATAAATTGATAAAACTTTTAATAAAATTTATAAGGATTTATAATATAAATAACCATGCATGGGATTGTTCACAATTTCATACCTTCAATGAACTGTTTATAAATATTAATATAAGTTATGTATTTCATAAATAGCAAAAAAGTGTAATAGTACTTGTCTAAAGATTTGACGTAAATGTGTTGATTTATGTATAAAGCAGAATTAAATTCGATTATCTGAAAATTCAAGAAATTTTCCTGAAATTCAAACGACTTCTTAGTAAACTTTTACGACTTTCTTTTTAAGAACTCAACATCGGTGCAAAAACTACAAAGAGAATACTTCTTGCAGGAAATACACACTACACTTAGCTGGAATTACGCTTTGTAGGAAACAGGGCTGGACAAAGTGCTTGACCAGCAAACGGTGCATATTTCCCCGGAAGCATATGAGAGGGGGGGTGGGGAACTACATCTTTCCTTCCTTTTTTTTCAGACATCTAAAGCATAGTGCACAATATTCATCCAAAACTATACTTTGTATCATTACTTAAAATAAAAAATAACAGAAATATGGAGACAGTTTACTAGTGACTATGTGATATGCACCCACCTGATAAAAGCATGGGGTCATTGCCCACCCCTTTCTTGATGCTGTCTGATTCTCCTGTCAGAGAACTCTCATCTATCTTCAAGTCATTACTTTGAATAATCACACCATCTGCTGGTAACAGATCACCTACAAGATGAAAAGCATTTAATGTCATCAATATTGTTTATAATTGCAGTTTATTCAGTAGTTATTTTAAATAATAATTACTGTACCTATTACTACTGTTGCTGTTATTATCAATAAATCACTACTACTGCGTCATTTTAATCAATACTTTAATGTTAATAAAACAAATTCTTAACCAAAAAATAAATAAATAAAACAAAAGAGAGTGATAATCAGTTTCCTCAAATTGGATAGAACTTCTCAATGAAAGCTCAGTGGCCAAGTTACGGCATTTTGGGACCTAGTAACAACGTCCAAGGAGTGAGGCGCAGAATGACCAGTTCTAAGAGAAGCTGAGACATACTACTACAACCCATTAAATTTGCTTTTTTTTTTGTTTTTTTTTGCCAGTATCGGAGACATCACAAGAGGAAACAACTGCAACCTCAAGTTACCCTTGTAAAAAAAATTTTTTAATGAAATGGAAACAAAAGGAATTTAATCAAATACCCAATGTCACAATGTATCAATTCAACTCGAGTAAACGAAAAAAAAAAAACCACCACCAACATTTCGGAAGGATTGATGTTAACTAACGACATATTTTATCTCGTTTATATTTCCTTAAACCTATCGTTAATAACATCAAATGAATTAAAGATTGTTCGAATTCAATTTAGCAAAGTCTCTAAGGAGTTGGAATAAACACTTGGTGGCTGTAATATTATGCAGATTTACTTGCAATGCCGAATGCTTCTTGGAGTCAACTCGTCTCGAGAAAAATAAGCGTGGGTATGCACACAATTCTCCACTGAAATCTAATACGGTACTAGCAATTTTCATGAAATATTATCGTGTTACTATTTCTATTACGATAAGAATTGCTGTCGGTAAATTTTTATTTTCTCTCTATTGCAAAAGTAATTAGCAAAATCTGGTATGTGAAATGCAGTTCACTCTGTTTTAATCTAGTAACATTTGATATTCTTTGCAATATGTTTTTACAATGGCCATATAAACACAATATCATGTTTCCTGTCTAGATTATATTAAAAAAGAGTAAGAGAACATTTTTTTTCTGCTTTTCTGGTCAAAAACGGTCACCACAGACACACACACTGTCATATACAGTGGTGACATCAGCATGGACCAGGGTGCCTTAAGCCCCATTGGACAGGCCAAACTCCTCCCAAATCCAATGGCTTGACCCATAAGACTAAAATGAAAAAAAAAAAATCAGCATAATAAATTCTATAACCTTGCCAAACAGCATAAAAATACAAAAATTTGTTATGTATGCACAGTATTCTTCACCCCCCTGGATCCCCAAAAGGGTATTCCTCTTAATCTGGCCGGGGACCTGCAGAATTCTGATTTTTTAAATATAATTTTCAACAAAACAACGATAATATATTAAAGAAAATATTCTAGTGTTCAAAGAGCATTCATCCTGTCAATGAGTTTTGAAAATTGTAGACATACTGAGCTTTTCTATTTCTGATTGGATGTGAGAAGCATATCTCCACAAATTTACTACATGTTACAATATGACTTAAGGTTATGTAAATGTCACTTATAAATATTTTCATTGTCACTATAGAAACATACCAATGGTATTCAGCTATCACATGACTACCTCATTAGGATGTGAAATCAAACTTAGACCTCTTTAAGGACGTAATTTTAGCAACATACAGTAATTACAAGGCTTTTGTAATTAATTCTGTAAAGTGACATCGTTTACATTTGTACAAGTGCCACTAAGTGCTATGGTCTTGGCTACTGCGAGGTTAACAAATACAATGATGTTTGATAGTTATATGGTCAACACGCAAGATGTATTAAATCCGAAAATGTTGTACCAACCAAATGCAACAAGAGTTAAGAAAAGAATTGCAAGACCATGGCAGATGGCAAGAGTGGGTGCTGCTACTGTATGAACCTAGTAGCATATAGAAAGCTTGA